AGCTGATGTCCCTCTTGAGGGCCCTGGGTGCAACTGCATCGGCCTGTGCGCCCCAGCGCTCGGGATCCAAACAGGAAAACGTGTTGCGACACCTCGAGCTTAACAAACGCCCTGAAATCCGGTGCTGCCTCTGCGCCAGTTCGACTAACAGATTTCACCAGACCTTAACCCCTGCCACTTCTCTCCTTTTTATTTTTAATTTTGCTCGGTTAGGAAAGCCTGGGATTGCTCACAGAGACTTGAAATCCAAGAACATCTTGGTGAAGAAGAATGGCACGTGCGCCATCGCCGACCTCGGGCTGGCCGTCCGGCACGACTCGGTTACCGACACCATCGATATCGCACCGAACCAAAGGGTTGGAACCAAACGGTAGGAGGGTGTTCCCGGGCAGCTCGAAGGCGCAGCCGTGGCAGAGGCCTGAGGGGGTGGGTGAGGACTTGGGGAAACTGTCGTTTTCGTTTTGCCCTGATTGATGTCGAAGGGACCTTCGGCACCTTCGCACTTAACGCGCCGGCCCTTTTCTGTTCTGCAGATACATGGCCCCCGAAGTCTTGGATGAAACCATTAACATGAAGCATTTTGATTCCTTTAAATGTGCTGATATCTACGCCTTGGGCTTGGTCTACTGGGAGATTGCTCGGAGGTGCAACGCGGGAGGTAATGCCCTTCGTGTGCCCCTGCCGTCGGGTCGGCTCCCTCCTGGGCTTCCCAGCCTCGGTGTCTGCGCTGGTGAGGTTTGAGGGACCCTGGAGAACAGGGCTGGTGTTCCTTTGGATGGATTTTGAGGAAGCGGTGGTGTCGATTTGCTGGTTTTTTTCCCCAAATCCACCCGCAGCGCTGGGGCAGTCCTGCCGCCTCCAGCTCAGCGCAGATCTGGCGACCCTTGCTCCGTGCAGGGGGTGTTGATCGCAGCCTGCAGACTCTGTTCCAGTTCGGGCAGCTGCATTTCATTTCCCTGCTTTTTTTTTTTTTTTTACTTGTAAACTCAAATCCCAGATTCTCCGTTTCTGTTCTAAATAACTGCAAAGCGTTGACGCATCTCGGCAGTGAGTCACGGCACCCGGAGCGGGATCAGCCTGCCTTCGGGGAGCGCTGCGGCCACAGTCCCTTCTCCGGGGAACCGCATCGCCCCTTCTCCTGTTGCAGGTATCCACGAGGAGTATCAGCTTCCCTACTACGACCTCGTGCCCTCCGATCCTTCCATCGAGGAGATGCGGAAGGTCGTCTGCGACCAGAAGTTGCGCCCTAACATCCCGAACTGGTGGCAAAGCTACGAGGTAAGGTCTGGCTTTCGTTTTCACGTTCTCTCCCCGCTTGGTGAGGTGAGTAAAGAGCAAGTGCTGTACGTCGAGCTCCCGCGTCAGGAGGGGTGGAGGCTCTGTCGGTGTCCAGCCTC